CAATTTCATGCCTCGTTTATTATTTATTTAATTTTTTTTAAACACAGTATAAGTCATGTCTAACAAAAATTATTTCAAAACTCGTTCTTTATACATTTGCACAATAAAATATTTTATACGTAAATCCAAAATTTTCCTATCTCTTAAGCACTCATTTTTTAAAAAATCACCATTCAAAATTCCATTTTGTCCAAATAAAGGTTGTGAAACCAGGGCTAAAATAAGATAAGATCAAGGATGAATTGGAGGCCAGACGTTTTGCCATCACTACTCAATTTTGTATGAGCTTAACAAATATGTGTTGTTTTGATTGCTATAATTAAAATGGGTAACTTATTGATACAATTTGCAAAGTTGAGGGACCCATTTTAATATTTCCTAAACCTTTTTTGTGCTTAGACAAACATGCACTGACGTGGCAAAAAATGGAAAAAATAAGGGCCGAAGTTGGCCTTTTCATGAAAAGGACAAGGTCCCACCTAACACCTCCATTTTCTCTTTCTCTCTCTTGCACTTTTGTTGCTTTTAATGTTATAATTTATTACATGCTTATCTGAACTCGTGAAATTCAACCAAACGTAGCATTCTGTACACACAGAGAATCTCTTCTGGAAAGTCCCATTTTTTTCCTTTGTTTTTCGGGATTTATGCGTGCATGAAATCTGTAGAAACCCTCTGTACTTTTGCTTTCCAGGTATAGTATGATACTCTGTATTTTGGCTTCCTTCACTGCTGAATTTTATAGAGTCAGATGTTCTTGGAAAGAGGTTTTTTGTTTGTGTAATGATCTTCTGTGGGTTTTAAGAAATTGTGTGAATCTTTGGAGAATTGTGCTCATAGTTTGTGGATTTTTAGGTGTATTGGACTTTTCAATCATGTTTTCTTGGGTGTTCATCTTAAATAATTACTCGAACCTTTTGAAATCTATACATGGAATTCTTTGGATTATGGCATGGTATGCGATGGATGGATATTTTTTTGTTCCGATTTAAACTTCCATTATTGATTTTTTCATTATTTTGATAAGTACAGAAAAATAGAGGCATTTATAGCTTGTTGAATTTGGTCCTGTCGAGTTTAGACGGTAAATTACTTTCATAATCTATTTGTTTAGAAGTATTAAATCACTGTATTTGGCTAGAGAGAGTGAAATGAGAGCACTTTTAAATTGTGATTTATATGGTCTGTTTTTCTGGTGATGATAGTATCCCATTTCATTTTGATGATTTTTGGTTATACCTGTAAGTGCAGCCCGAGACAGTTGCTGGAATGTTCTTTGAATTCTATATTTTATACCCTGAAACAAACTCTACGGGATCCTATGAAATCTGCTTTGTCAGTTTGAATCAATTTGGTTGAAAGTTCACGAATCGAAGGAATAGTCTGATTGAGAAGGAGAATCAGTTGAATTATGGGATACTTATGTGAGTTCTGCGGCAAGGATAGGGCCATTGTGTATTGCAAATCTGATGCAGCTAGTCTATGTTTATCATGTGACCGTAATGTCCATTCTGCAAATGCCCTTTCTCATCGTCACTCAAGGACACTCGTGTGCGAAAGATGTAATTCGCAACCTGTCTCTGTCCGATGTATCAAGGAGAGGGTATCTCTTTGTCAGAGTTGTGATTGGATAGCTCATCGTGGTTCACATGCACATGAAAGACAAGAAGTTAATTGTTACTCGGGCTGCCCTTCAGCTGCAGAACTTTCTGTGATATGGTCATTTCTCCTGAATCTCCCTACATTCTGTGATTCTACTTGTGAGCAGGAAACGGGGTCCCTGAGCATCACTGGAAGCAGGCTAAAGGATTGCCAAAGTGCCGAAGGAGATAATAACATTCAAGATTCATCTATTGCAGTCGGCGAGAATTGCTTACGTAATGAGGATGTTGATATAGCAACTGTTTCGATGGAATCGACAATGCCTTCGCTTAATCCCAAGGTGAACAATGCAGAAAAACTGACTGGATCTTCTAATTCTTCTATGCAGAAGGTAGGAAATATTTTGTTCCAAAGAGCTAGCACATGTTTTCTATATAGTATTGGGAACTATAATGAACAAGAACTTCTCTATGTTATTAAATAGTCTAGTGCTATACAATCCTTCTTACCAAACATGCACTTAGCCCCCGTTTGGCCCCCATTTTCTGGAAATGAAAATAGGTGAAATAGTATTTTTTTGAAAAATGAGTGGTTGAAAAAGAAGGAAAAGTTTTTGATTTACGTGTAATATTATTTTATAGAAGATTGTATGGTTGAAAATAGGAGAGAAAAAAATGAAATGGAAATTAATGGGGGCCAAACGAGGTCTTAGTGGCTTTCTTACTTTACCAATTTTTATTAGAGCTCTGTGTGATCGAGTCATACCTTTCTTTAAACAATAAATCATGTGAAACTACCCACATATACTTGGAACTGGCCTATAGCAATCCAATTACTTGGCAATAAGATCTTAGAATTAGGATTTGCAAGAAAATACCCCGAATTATTCTATCTTACTTAAACCTTTTATCAAAATGAGGCTCAAGAGAAATACAGTCATGGATGTATAACAAAGAAGATAAATATGATCTCAGAGTCTCAGGATCCCTTTAATCTTTTGATGAAATTGAAAACTCAAGCAATATAATTATTTTTCAAAATTGAACAAAGTTAATGGGAATATTTTTCAATGATGAGACATATACAACCTAGGGAAGGATAATGCCAAGAAGCAATGATCCTATGGACATCTGCCCAAAATTTGATTTGTCTCCCACCCTCGCATCTCGTTTACTGAACCAAATGGAAGATAAAAATCTTAAGATAAAAAATTCTTCTTAAAAGAGCTTGTCAAGATCATATTAGAATCCCAACCATTTAGATCCACTCCAATTTTACAACCTGTCTCCATAAAGAGAGTAGTTCAAAAGAAACCTCCAAACTCATTTTCATGCCAAATTACGTATTTTTTGCATTCCCAATACCTCCTATACTCTTGCTTCTGGAAACTAAAAATCTGTATCTATCAAATACTCTTTTTGACCTTCTGCTCTACCTTTCCCCAAAGGGCCATTGTTATTTTTCTCTATGTAAGCAGTCACCTCATCCAACGTCGTAAGAATCAACGTTTAAGGGGTGTTTGTTAGGGATTAAAATTAGATTTTTAGTAGATTATGATAGAAGTTTTTGAAATGTGTGGTTGAAAAGTTGTGGGACCCATGAAAGATGTGGTTAATATTAATTGTTTGATTTTGACTTAGATTAAAATCATATTTTAATCTATACCAAACTGGGGCTTAATAAATTGGGATACTAGGCAAAACAACTTGAATGTGATTTACTCTACCCACTGCTGCAATTTTGATATATGCTATTTTGATTCTGTTTAACGCATGTAGAATAATGACACTTCATCCTATCAATTGGTCATTTCTGGCACTCATTTTAAAATGCTAAAGGATTGTGACGTATATGTTATAAGTAGGAGCATGATTTACTGATAGTAATGCTAGTATAATTCTGTTCAAAGAATCAATTATTTATCCTGTACTCTTTTTCATGAGAAGCACTAAGAGTCTCGTCTTGCTAATATGCAGGGTTTCTTCTGTGGAACAAAGGGATCTGCTTTATGTGATGATGGTGGTTTTTATGATGATTTCAATATGGACGAAGGAGACTTAAATATTGAGAACTATGAAGAATATTTTGGTGCAGATGTTGATAACACAGGAAAACTTTTTGATAATGATGGGATTGATGCACTATTTGCAACAAAAGATATGTCTTGTTCCAACTGTCACAGTGCTTCTGCTGCTGAGGTAATTCCTTCAAATGGGAGTGCATTATCCTCTCTCTCTCTCTGCTACTGTGATTTCGCATGTAGTTCATTCACAACATGAATGAGACTTTTAGTTGCAGTAGATATGTTTTTTCACCATTCTAGTTATATATTAGGTTGTGTGTGAGATGTGTATGAGATGTCTGAATAACAATGTGCTAATGTTGAGATATAAAAAATAGTTCCAGCCAATATTGGCATCGTCAAAAACATTGTCATCAACACCACCATCATCCTCCATCCATTCCATTTTGTTCTTCTCGGTTACTACTTTTGTGTGTTCCATATTTTCTTCTCTAATATTCAAATTTATAAAAATTTTAAATTCCTATTACTTCCCTCATTAAATTTAAGTGGCTGAATGTTTTGATGCAGGACTTCAATAAATGTTACCATAACTATCTCCAAGAAGAGGGATAATTCTAGAATATTGAATCGAAAACCTAAGAGACAATGGTTTAATTGTGTTCTGATAGAGCAAACTCAAAAGAGAAAAATGAAAGATGGGGAATGCTGTAGTTATTCTTTTTGAATAGTAAAGAGATACTGTTACAGGATAAGAAAAATGACGTTTTTAGATCTTTTAGAATTTAGAATCAAAGAATGAATATAGTCGGAGATTGTTATTACTTGTATGTGAAAGTTCCAATAATTTAAAATATAAAAACATGAGAATGTGATGTTTCCAGGATAGAGATCAAAGAGACATCATAAACCTTCTATATTTGTTGTTATGGAAATGGACTTGACTTCATTTTCATAATGCACCCTGCATAATGTAATGTGTTGCTAGGTCTTGTGATCAATTTTGTCAAGAGAATGAATTTTGGAATTTCTTACTATTCAACTCATTTTGTCATATGACGTGACTGCAACCAAACTCCTGGCAGCCCAAGTCCTAGCTCCCTATGTAACTGTTGGAAAGGCAGCTTAAGTTACAATACCACTTCGACAAAACTAAACTTTTTAATTCTCACCAATGCACTCCTTGATATCATCCTGGAGACACCACACCCATGTGACACTTTGCAAGTTTCCAAAAGGTCGAATCACATGAATTTTTAAAATATGGGTGCCCAAACCTTTGATGACATATTCCTGCAGGTGCTATACCATTTGACAGCAGTAAGTGCTTCGTGAATCTTTTTTGCAAGCATATAAAGCGGTACACGTCTTCACCCTCTTGCCAGAGTATTCTGGGTTTGATCTTGAGTGACAAAACAAGTTGGATTGAACTAAAAAATGCAGTCAGCAGCACGAAATTGACTGACTTAGATAAAAAAATTCTTTGTATTTGGACCACATCATTTGATGTTAATGTGCCATGAAGTGTTGTTATTTGTGCATCCTGTGTGATCTTAGGAGTTTGTGTCAATTTCCAACATAAATGACCTAATTTCTTTTGTAAGCTTTAGGTGGGACTAACTTAAATGGATCATTGGCCGTATGTCTGGTGGCTCCTGATTCTACATGGAATTGTTGAGCATTGATTTCATTTGGCATTGATTTCACTTGGATTCATTGAGTCTTAAGGCATGTGGGGTCGCTATCCATTTTCCATGTTTGACTATTTTTCTGTTTCTGAGGTTAAATTTGTAGTATATTGTTAAAGAGCCCAGACGGATAAAAACCACGTCCTCTTGAATTTTGCCACCTCGTCCATTTTCGCCTATTTTTTTTGTTGCAAGATGTTCTGAGCATGTCAAGAGCGGATATTTGCTTTGTCTCCTCCTTATCTGTGGAAGCATTTGCTTATGACTTTGCTGGGTTAAGGAAGAACTCACCGAATGTTGGGTACGCAGCATTGTCAGCATGGTTTTTCTAAATTTAAGATAAGTCCAAAGGCTACATGCCAATTGCTTTTTTTTTTTTTTAATTGTCGAAAGAGATTATTTTTTCTCATATACAATAATGAAATATACAGTCTTATTAATAGTACAATGTTGAAGAGAAGAAAAGGAAAGAAATCTCCTCGTTTTGAAGAGAAAATAGGTTTCCTAATTCATCTAACTTGCTATAGAAAACTAATTATAGTACAAAGAATCAATCCAATCAATTTACCATATGCTTTCTACACTCTCCCTCAAGTTGAATCGTAAATATTGACCATTTCCAACTTGCAGGCGAAATAATCCTTTGGTAAATATATCAGCAGTTTGTTTTCTAGTAGAAATGTAGGTCATGCAAATGAGTCTATTTTCAACATTTTTTTTGATGAAATGTCTATCCACTTCTACATGTTTGGTTCGATCATGTTGTACAAGGTTACGAGAAATGTTTATGGCAGCTTTGTTATCATAGTAGAGCTTGATTGGAAGTTTTACTATGATCCGTAATTCTTCTAAGAGCTTCTTTAACCATAGTACCTCGCATATCTCTTGTGCAACTACTCTAAATTCAGCTTCAACACTGCTTCTTGCTACTGCATTTTGCTTTTTGCTCTTTCAAGTTACTAAATTTCCCCATACAAAAGTACAATAACTAGTTATTGATCTTATATCGTCTGTTGAACTAGCCCAATCTGTATTTGTGAAGACTTCTACTTTCTTGTTTTCATCCTTCTTGGAGAATAATTCTTTTCCAAGTGTCCCTTTAAGATATCTGAGGATTCCGTATACTGCTTCCATATGAGTCTATTTTGGAACATGCATATGTTGGGTTATCACCCCTATCGGGAAGGCAATGTCAGGTCGAGTGTGGGATAGGTGATTTTCCAGCAAGTCTTTGATATCTATCCTTTTGATCAACATTTCCATCATCTTCTATTTTACTTCCGGTATCAATGGGTATGTCACTTGGTTTACATCCTAGCATGCCTATTTCTTTTAGGAAATTATAAATATATTTTCGTTGTGAGACACTAATTCCTCCTTTTGACATTGCTACTTCCATTCCTAAGAAGTACTGCATTTGTCCTAGATCTTTTACTTCAAATTCTGTTTCTAGACTTCTCTTAAGTCTTCCCATCTTGCTTATAATATCTCCTGTTAAGATCATATCATCTACATATATGATTAAAATGGTCTTCGTTCCATTTTCTGATTGTTGGAAGAGCATGTTATGATCTGATTGTCCTTATTGATAACCTTGATTTTTCAACACTTGCAAATCTATCGAATATGCTCTGGGTGATTGTTTGAGACAATACACGACTTCTTGAGCTTACAAACTTTATACTTCTCTTCCCTTTTTCCAAATCTTGATAGTAGAGTCATGAAGACTTCTTCTAGTTCCCATTAAGAAATGCATTTTTAATATCTAGCTGTTGCAGCGGCTAGTCCAAGTTAGCAGCTTAGGACAAAAGGACTCTGATGGTATTTATCTTAACCACTGGTGCAAATTAGTTAATACTATAAGTTTGAGTATATCCTTTTGCAACAACCGAGCTTTATATCGCTCTATTGTTCCGTCAGCTTTATACTTCACATTGAAGACCCATTTGCATCGTAAGGGGTTCTTTCCTCTTGGTAGATCCACCACATCCCAAGCGTTGTTTTTCTTCAATGCCTGCATTTCTTCCATCACTGCTTCTCTCCATTTGGAAAATTTCAAAGCTTTCTGAATACTCCTTTGAATTTCTATATTGTCAAGGTTAGATGTAAAAGTGCAAAACCCTGTGGATAGAGCATTTTAAGATATGAATTTTGAGATAGAGTGGAGAGTGCATGGCCGAGTTTGTTCTCTGAGTGCAATAGGTAGATCGATATCATCAATATCCCAAGGTTCAGACTCATTAAAATCCGGACTTAGCATCATTTTCGAGTCTTTTGGTGCTTCAGATGTGAGATTCTCATTGTACCTTGATTTTGGTCTCCGTGAATAAACTAACATTTCCTTGTCACTTTGTACTTCTATGTCTTCCCCTGAGTTCAAATTCTCTATATATGGAATATTAGGTTTTGAGGATGAGGTCTTGATGTTTTCTGGGGAGATATTAAGGTTAATGAACCTATCTTCACTAGGCTTCTCTCCTTGAAGAGAGGTGTTTTTGAAGTAAGGTGTCTTTCAAAGAATGTGATATGACGACTAACAAGTGTTTTTCTTGTTAATGGATCATAACATTTATAGCTTTTTTTGAGTGGGCGAGTATCTGATGAAAACACATTTAATGACATGTGGGTTGAGTTTGCCTCGTTTATGGGAATGAATGTGGGCAAATGCAGTAAAACCAAGCACCTTGAAGGATATGTTTGAAGTTAGATAAGAAAGAGGAAAACAATTTTGAAGTTTTTGGATGGGTGATTTAAAGGAGAGCGTACAACTAGGTATTCGGTTGATAAGATATGTTGATGTTAGTAAAGCATCTCTAAAAAACATTTTTAGCATATTTGAAGTGAACATTAGGTTATGGGCAACTTCAAGTACGTGTCCTTTTTTTCGTTCAACAATCCCATTTTGTTGGGAGTGTTGACGCATGAGCTTTGATGGATAATCCCACACTTTTGCAGATAATATCTTAGAGTGGTATTGAGTATTCAGTACCATTATTATTGCTTAGGATTTAAATTTTTGTTTGGATCATTTGATAAAAGGTGATAAATATGGAATGTATGTCAGCCTTTTCTTTTAGTAGATAAACCCAATACACCCGAGTGTGGTCATCAATGAACGTGACCAACCATTTTGTGTGAGTACGATTAGGAATCTACGAGGGGCTTCATAGATCGCTGTAAATTATTGTGAATGGTTTTGATGGCTTATATGTGGATTTTGGAAAAGTAGTGCGGTGATGTTTCACAAATTCACAAATTTCACATTGAAAATCAACAATCATTTTATTCGAGAAGATAGAAGGAAAGACGTTTTAAATATTGCAGGTTTGAGTGACTCGATCTATAATTCCATAATAGAATATCATTATCCTTAGAGAACAACATAGAATCACAAGTTTCAGTTGGACGTTGTTTACCCACTTCAGCTTGTTCAAGGTAGTAGAGTCCATCACATTCTTTAGCACTGCCAATTATCTTTCCGGATGATAGGTCCTAGAAAACACAATGAGTTTGAGAAAAATTAGTAGAGCAATTTGAGTCTCCAGTTAATTGGCTGACGGACAATAAATTGCATGACAAATTT